GGAACTTGTGCTCAAATAGTGAAGGCCAGAGATGAGGCTCCACACCAGGTACAGCATCACGCAGCTCTGTCCAGCAGTAGCCTCTTGCATACAATGCCTGGTCTCTTGTGAAGTTGTGCGGTGTGTAACAGTATATGGGCTCCTCTGAGGAAAGTACAGATGGACAGCATCAGTTCAAACCAAATTTGAAAAAGTGTGACATTTATAACTTACAATTTAAGTATATTAGCTGAAAGAAGAATGTTTTAATACTATATTTTGTGGCTTTTTTGTCCAATTTTATTACTGATATCTGACAATTATTTGAAAGTGAAGCAATGTAAAGATGCTTGAAATATTAATTATAATCATCCACTGTACTGTAAAACTGTGAGAGCACACAGCTACACTGAGTCTTACAGGTCAAAACAGAACCGTTTAGTAGTTTTGCAGGGTTTAATGCTAATCTATGTTTCGTTTCCAAGTAAGTGATTAAGGGATTACAGTTCCATTCAAAACTTTAGAACTTTTCATATATCATTTCCGTGGAAACAACTCTCAAAAAAAAAATTTTCCCATTTCCTAGGAAATATCCTCCATCTTCCTCATCTCGGTATCTTGAAGAATCTTTTGGAATAATTCATCTGTTCAGCACAAAGCACTGTGCTTTTGACAGTACTGATTTTTGAAATGAGAACAGCATCTGTCAGGTTCAGATAGAGGAATCAAGAACACTCCTTCTTGTCAAAGTTCTCTATCATGTCTGTGTCTAAGTACAAACCTAAGCAGTTGCAACAAGTCCACTTTTAATCTTTGGACCTAAGTGCAGTGCAGTAAAGTTTGATATTACAAATACAGTAGTTTTAATTGTTATCCAAATAAACATCTCTGTCCTTGTGGTTTGACATACCAATGAATTGTTTGAAAATGCCTTAAATATCAAATGTTATCTAAACACCCACATCTTTTTTCTGCTTAAATTAAACATGCAGTCCCAGCTGGTTAAAAGCGGCTCTGCAGGGAGTCTGTCTCAGCAACAAACTTAGCATCCCTCCCATCCATCGCTTCCACTCTACCTTCTAACCAGACCTGTGAGTCTTGTGATTTATGAGTTCTGTTGCTTAAAAGAATCAAAGTGCAGTGTATGTATACATGTCAAAGCCTTCACAGGTTTGATCTACAGTAGATTTTTTAACAAACTGAACTTTGGTTTAGGGAGAGCTAGCAGCTGCTGTTGTAAGCATCTGACAGCAAACCCCCTCTAGTGGCTGAAAATCTCACCAGCAAAGTTCCTAGTGAAGACGAGGGTGACCAGCAGGATGGGGATGATGACCGTCCCTATAGTAACAACACGATCAAAGGGCAGTTCCAGCTTGAGCTGCACCATGAGGCTGGCCAGCGCCCCGCCCTTCTCATCCTGTGAGGAACCCGGCAGGATGAGCTCCTTTAGCTTCTCGCCGGCGAGTAGAGCTGTGGCCATGTCTAAGTTTTGATCAAGGATGTTCTGCATCCGGAACACAAAGCACACACACTACAATGCCCCTCTGTGCTGGTTGGGAAGCCAACTGCTCCTGGTTGTAGTTAAATACTCCTCAACCCAATCTGACACACCCACACACAGGCACACACACAAAGAAATGTGTGGCCGACTTCAGTCTTTGTCACCATGTGTGGGAAAGAAGAGGGTCATAAGGCGTGGTCTTAAGACAGCTCTTGTCTTTTAGAAGAACAGACAATTTTCAGAAGCACACTCCTGCCTCAGCCTCTTCTGGTTGCGCCCCTGTATTTTACTCTGTCTCTGCAGTGCTAGGCCTTAGTCCCCACACTCTGCAGCAAATTAAGGAATGAGCTGAGTTTAGGAGGCGTCCCCAGAGAGAGTGATCATTAGCTGAAGAGTTGTTACGTGAGCTTCAGTCAGGAGACGCTCTGGCCAGTCCTTTCCTAAAAGAGAGACCACAAGTTAGGATGGCTGTGTGGGCTTTTTTTTTTAAAGCACTGTGAGATCCAAGATGTTATTTCAGGCATATGGACAACAGATAATTAGTCCAGCTGCCTTTCAAATGAGCCATAGTGTGACCTGACATTGATTACAAACAGAATTTCTTCAGTAATTTTAAACAATGTTCTACATGTCTTAAGAAACAACAGACCTTATTTTTTGTTAGCCAATATTTGTACCCTGCTCCTCTGGTGGTATTTATCTCTGTGGAACATTGTGTGCACACTGCGATGTCAGGTTGTCAGTGGGAAGTCATTCCTACATGCATACATTTATGTGCACGCATATGTGTGCGTGGTGATTGCTCAGGGTGGATCAGTGGCAGCTGCACGCTGGTGTCACTTGAAGGTTATGTGAATGTCCTTCAGGATGATTGTGGATGCATCGCCCCTTCCCACCAACAATCCTCAACTTCTCAATTCTCCTTTTTTCACTTCCTCTCTCCATTCCTCCTTCTGCCCTCCTTTGACTTTCTTCTCATTATGCAAAAACAGCTCATTTATGAAATCCTCAAAAAGCAAAGTCCAAGGCAGGAAATTATCCTCATAGAGTAGAACCTTGAGGCTGTGGTTTCACGCATACATGGGACAGTGAACCTAACTCTGGTCAGCTCTCTCACTTTCATCCGCATGATAAGAAAGGTAATAGGACTTCCTTTATAAGTGAACATTATTCAAGACTTTATATGTTAATGCTGACAGTATGCGGTAATTGGGGTTATACCTGATAAAGAGAACAAATTGTCCTCTATGCCCTTACAAGATATACAGTTGTACAGTTTTTATATTCTTTTCTGCACACTGCCTAGTGTCAAGCAAGACAGCTTTGTTCACATCCTCAAATTCTGTCTTAGTGAAGATCAGAGGGGAATAAACTTTGCATAATTTAAATTTAAAGGGGAAACATCGCATTTTAGGTGCTTTGGTAAAGGCTGCACTGCTGCCCCTGAGCCACTGGCACTGCTCCAGTCAAACAAATTATGCCCCTGAGCTAGGTGAAGTATTTAGAGAGTGAATCCCACATTCCTTGGCTACTACAGCATATAGCTTGGCTGTGACCAGTGTAGCCTGCTACAAAGAAACAGACTCTGGGACAATATCAGAAGGAGCTCTGTTCTTTCCTTATAAAATATGTGAATGCTGAGGAGGGAAAAACTTTCAGTCCACATGGCTCTGACATTTGTTCTCAGACAAATTTGATCAGATGCCAATAGCAGTCCAGTGATAGATGTAAGAAGCTGTGAAGGAATATTGTTTTAGATGAATGGTACATGCAAGATAGAAAAACAGCATAATGTATTCTCAATAAGTTCCTATGGGAACACTGCAGGAGCATTTCACTGGGGTGAGAAAATCACTGGCTCCTCTAGTTAGCTCGCGTTGAGCTAGAATAACTGCTGTTCCTCAGAGCTGTGTGCATTCAGGAGACTGGGAGGACCACACTTCCATCAGAGACGTTGCACTGCAGCGAATCGCAGCTACCCGGGGACGACGAACTGTTTCAGCACCGGAGCAGCGGACAGCTCCCGAACAGGCAGCCAGTGACGAGCTGCTAAACATCAAGTGTAGCGATTAAACGTGAGAGTGGGAGCGTGTGTACCCTGTTGCTTCGCGTCTGTGTGTGTGTGCATGAGAGGAGAGGAGATCCTTTGAGATGCTGAATACCTGGCATCAGCTGTCTACCTGTCCACACTTGAAAGACTAACGCCGGCAAAGCCACGCTTCCTCCTGTGGTGCCGACAAACGAGATTATGTGCACACAGTGGGAAAATGAGAGAAAATGCACTCACCATGTTCTCGCTGCTGCATCTGCCGGCACGTTAAGAGTTAATCTGCAGTGCGGGCGAGCAGCTACGGCGTGTATCCGAGCACACCGGTTTGTTCCGCCTCCACCCCCTACCCCCCAGCTCTCCACCCCTCCCCTGCCACGCCACCTCATCAGAAACAAGGGATGAGATAACACATTGTCTAATAATGGAAGATAAATGTAACTGTGTTGCAGAAATCGATATCCTATTCATTATATAGGCCTAATTATTTTTTTAGGTTTGCCATATAAATATTAGACTACAGATTCTTATATGAAAGTTACTGGATGGTTACAGTGTTAAAATTGCCTATACCACAGATAGTTACTAGTGTACACATGGGATTGTCTGCTTAGCACTAGGGCTTGGTTGGTCTTGGTGAACAGGCTTACCTCCAGTTACCAGCTACTTCTATTCAAATCCTCTGTTCAGTCTACAACCTCACTACAAGGCGCTGGCAGGCTTTAAGTATCATACTGATAGGTCTGTCCAACCTGCCCATCATCTATGAATGTGGGATTGACCATTTAAACGTTACTAACACCGAATGGGAAGGATGTCTATCCTTCAAGCTCAGTGGGTGGGGCGGAGGGCAAACCCAGCTCATTTATATTAGAGACAAATAGAGCCTTCTACGACTGATCAGGTGTATGTGTAGATAAGTCTTAGAGGGAAGTCTTCCAGGGGAACAACATAAATGAGCGGCTTTATTAAAGAATATTCAGTTGTGAATAGTACTCTTGTCTAATGACTCAGATTACCACCACATCACAGCAGCTTGGTACATTGCAGTCTGCAACGTCCACCATCCTTTGGTTCTCAATTGGTATTCCTGCGTCTACAAGTCCCAGTGAGCGCGCCCCCGATGTCCGTCATCTGGATGTGCCATAAGTCAGTTTTTCCTCAAGCCGGTTTCTGCCGGTTAGGGAAGCCGCTCCTCACTATGTCTGCTTCCAAATATAGCAGCCTCTCTCTCTGTCTCTCTCTCTTTATGCGTGTGCGCGTTGTGTCCGAGATCTCAGTGATGTTCATGTCTAAGATTTGACACAGCTTCCTGCTTCCTGACAAGGTGGTAATAAAAAATGCTAAAGAATGCAAAAAAAGAGCATCCTACTCTTCTTCCAGGCCATGCTTTAAGAAATCCACTCTCCTGCAACTGAATACAACACTTCTGCCACAGATTTTATGTTTGCAGAATTTCGACATATGTTGTTATAAGTTCTTTGTCCTCGCTTTGTAGCCTACACAAGGGGACCAGAAAACGTATGACCTAAATGCTAAAATAATTAAATAACTCCTTTTTAAAAAACCAGCATTATATGCATCATTAAAGTAGGCTTTATAGGAAAACAGCCTGTACAGGTGTAACTAATAAGGTAGCCACTGAGTGTTTGCTTCACATTTTGACAAACCAAAACTGGCCAAAAGTGTTTGGAAATGCATTTTATTTTTAACCTAAACACAGACAATGCATGATTGTTTACTATGTAAAGGAAAATGATTCCTTATAAGTAAGAATATAACAAGTCCAGTGTCTAACACAGAACACAGTGGAGGGATGGGAGTAAATTAACAGAGGAAGGAAATCAAATAACTGAATACATTTCCAAAGGGTTCCATTTCCAAACAAGAAAGCTAAAGTGTATCGGTTTTTGCGTGCAGACATATATCCAGTAAATCATATGAAGTTTAAACATCACTGTATCTAATAATAGAACGATAACTGAACTGAACAATATTTCTTTTTATGAATATGGGTAATTGATTAAGCATAAAACACTATACAAACACCTTTTGAAACAGCTGATGACAAACTCAGTGTTCACTAGCTGGAAATAAAATCAGCGGAGAATAAAGTTATTCAAACATGTTTCATGAGTTGTCTTTAATTCTGTACTGTACATGCTTTTCATCCTATAGTGCAACCCTGTGCTGTCAAAACTGCATCATCCACTAAATCCTGGATTTACTGTGTAGAACAAAAGTAAATATTTTCAGGCATCACAAAAATGTATTCACAAGTGCTCAGAACATTTTTATACTATAAAACACTGGCTCACATGATTTTTATTTCTATTTATTTATCTATTTGCTGGACCTATAGTATATGGTATTAGTGTATATATATATTTTTGATGAATAAAAACAAGAAGACAAGAGAAGACAGCTCTCTGGGTCCGTCTTCGTACTTCTGAATAAATCATTACAGTTTTACTTATTTTTTTACAATATTTTCTGTCTCACCATTTTACTCTTGGGCTTACAACTTACAGAGTATATTTAATTTCTCCTTTATATCAAACATCTCCATGTATTGTAGGGCTGCTCACTGGGCCATTTGGACCACAACCGACTTCCAGGCTCTGTCCTTGTCGAAATCCTGCAGCTTCCAATTGGATGCTTGCTGCTGAAGAGGCAACACAGGAAAATGAATAAGGAGAGAGAGAAGTGGAAGGGGAAAGGTGACATTACAGAGAATGATTATATGTACGGCTAGGTCATTGATTGTTACGCTGTCATATGTAAAAAACCTTTTTCATAAGCTGGTGTATGGTATAACACCTGAAACACGATTAAATATAGCATAATACCACATTCACAACTGTCTCTCTTGTTGGAAGTGAAGAGACAGTCAAGAAAGGAAAATCGTATACAGACAAATTTGTCCGTTTGTGTGGACAACTCCTGCTTTAATCTGCCATACTTCACAGCAGTGGATCGGGTTGTGCAAGTTGTTTTCGCACTCTGGAGCCCCCATGTGGAGCTGGCTCTTGTAGGAGGCACAGTGCACCACAGTGGCTGCAGTTAGAACTGCCTGCACCAGCAACAGCACCAACAGAATCAGCAGCAGGATGTCGTAGGATTGCTGGAACATCGACACACATACACAAACATGCAAATGAAATTGGATTATTCTGAATTACATTTCCCACAGTCATTTTCACAGTTTCTCTAAAATGTGTTCCCATATGTCTTATTCAGAAAGATGTGAAATCCTGCACACTTCATATCTCTGCTAAATCTTGACTTCAATAGACTCACCTTGGCTGTGGGCACATCATGCAAAAAAATTTCAATAAAGCTAATAACACTGCAGGAGAGGAAGCCAGAGGCTGAAAAGAGGAGAGGAGACGTCACACTGCTGATGGCAATTAGTACCTCCACCTGACAGACACAAGAACGAGAGAGAAAAAGGAGGAACACAGAAAAAAGGAAAAACAAATTTGTAGAGAAAGGAAATAGAGGCAGTTTGTATAAATGAGAGATTTAGTTCTAATTAATGAAGGTCATCTTTCCTCAGCAAACAACCTAATTAACCTCTATAAGATACATTAGGTAACTTTATTTATCTAGCATCTTTAAAAAGCTCAGTCACTCTAAGTGTTTCACAATAAAAGATAAGATAACATATTGTACATACAGAAAGCAGTAAAAACACCAAAAAAATAGAAAGAGATAAAACATGACACAAATAAAAGTCTAAACAGATTTGTCTCGAGCTGCATTTTAAATGTGTCAACACAACAGAATTAAACACTTGTTCTGTCTACACACATTTTATCTGTTATGTTTTTAATGTTTGTGTAGATCCTAGGACATGTAGCTGATGTATTGCCTCAGCTAATGGGGATTCTAATAAAATCAAATCAAAATCAAAATTGGATCCTAGGACATGTAGCTGATGTAGCTAATAAAATCAAATCAAAATCAAAATTTTAGATCTGCCTCATCATGCATCAAGATATATTTGGACTTTGAAAGCTCCTAATATGTTCCTTTAATTACTTACACTCACCCTTTAAAACCATGTTTGGCCCATTGTATTGTACTAAATAATCTCAAGACTGGGGCCCTACTAGAATATTGTCTTGTACTCACCAGACATTTGTTGGGGTATTCTGACACAACATGACTTGCAATAGCACTGGGGAAACACTGCAACAGATTAAAGATAAGACAAAGTTATGTGATGAAGTCGGTGTTAGTTGTTATTGTAGGCTGCAATCTATCTCTGTCACAATGAACATTAAGCTTTAGTAAGAAAATCTTACAGCCACAAGGATCCAGAAAAATGTAACAGAGAGGTAAGGGCCGGGTAGCAAAGCATCCATGTTCAGAGCAATAATGCCTCCAAAGACAGCAGAGATTCCCACAATCACTTCGATCACCTGATAGAGACATTCCCTAGTGACTGGTAAATAGACACATTGGAACCAGACAGCAACATCATATGCAAAGAAACTGCAAACTACTCACAGAATATGCCTTAAGGAGCTGAGTGGGGAACACTGCAGGTGTTACAACCACAGGTCTGTCATGTGACTAGATGATGGGTGCAAAATTGAGAGGAGTTTAGGATGGAAAAGTGAAAGCTAGAGGGAGAGCAAGAGGGGAGAGACATCAGACGGGGGAACAAAGAGAATCAATCCACACACACCTTCCTATGGCAGCAGCAGTCCTCTGCAGAGCGGGCTGAAAGGATGACAGTACTGGCCATCAGCACCTCCAGCACAATCATCAAGATGAGGTTAAAATTGATCTGTGAGAACACACAGCAGGAGGATGAAAGACAAAGACTGAAGGAAGGAAATAACAAAAACCACTTAATGTGTCTAGGAGCAATTAAATGATGGGTAGGCTATACATCATATTAATATGATGGGTTTACATTGACAGCAGAAGGGTTCAGGACTAGTTTACAGCCAAACCAAACCAGGCAGGTGGTTGTCACAGCAAATGTTGACACATACATCACCTGGAAATCTGACACCTTGAAAAAAAGACAAATGTGATACATTAGTACCAAGATTCAATTGCCTCAAGGAACTTCAATTAAAAATTCATCATAACATAATTATCTCTTTTGCCTTTTGTGTGTTCATTGTTTACTCACAGCAACATGTCTGTTCTTGGCAATGGCAAAACTAACTATCGCTGCAGGGAGGCCCTGTGAAGAAGGTCAACAAATGAGCTCCTGCATTTATCAGTTTAGCAGATGGTGGCTGAAAATTACGCCTCCCTGGCCTTTTGACAAAATAGTCTAATATCAATTTTTATAAACTATAGTATAGGTAGAGAGGCGACATTAGTATGGCTGTGACTGTGATTACACTGGCATGACTGTCACTTACAGAGCCTGCAGCACAACGCAGGTAGTCCATAGCAACAGGAAACACATTTCCCAGGTACAGAGAGAAACCAGACGTGATGAGCAGACTGCCCTGAGGAAACACACACACACACACACACACAGAGACAATGATGTAGTACATACTGTACAACTACAGACACTCATACATACAGTAAACCTCACCTGTGTCCCAGTTAACCAGATACAACACAACACACATCCAAAGACAAGCTGCTGACCTTTGAAACACTTGCAGACAGCAGTAGATTAGAGGTTGCACCGTCTGCAGACATAATGATATATGCTTCTTCTCACTTAAATGTGGAAGCGCAAATCAAGATTTCTTGCTGCCATTACACTCATACTTTCAAGATGAGGATAACATCTCATTAGAAAATGATCCCCTCAGCCTTTTAATTTGGTGTGTTATGAACTAAACAGGCACATCTCGTAGTTTGCCTCATTTATAACTCTCCGTGAGCATCTTTCCTCTCACCCCTATGAGGACACTGTAGAGCCAGGCCCTGTAGCTGAAGCAGGGGTGCTGCAGAGGCTCCGGCTGTGCCAATTGCAGGTCACTGGCCCTCACGTCCACTGTGTAGCTGTCCCGCTCCCCCCTGTCTGGCCTCCTCTCCACTTCCCTGTCGCCACGTCGTCCCAGTGTCCCGCTACCCCTCTCTAGAGTGGGTACATGGCTGTAGGTGAACTCCTCTCTGGGTGATAGTTCCTCACGATGCATCACTGAAATTGTTGGTAGATAACTTTGGATATGATGGAAAACAACAAGTGTAGATTACAGCCTCTGGGAACAAAGAAGAAGAAGAAGAAAACAAATTCCAGCAGTGATACAGCAGGTCAAAGAGATGGAGCTACAAAGGGGATTTAAATACATTTGCTGTAGAGTGGTCAGTGATTAGTAAACTCAGGCCTTGTGTCTGCCCTTTAAGCCATAGGATAAACAAGATTATTTTGAAATTAAGATGGAAATCAAGATTACTCCTGTATTCCAACATGAGAATTAATAGGGAAAATGAATGAAAAGTGCATTAGGCTACTTTTCATACAGTATTACAACATCAATCCCCTGCTTTTTGTCTACTCAAGCCAAAAAAAAATGCCACTTATACCGCTATCTTCTTTCTCACTGCTTCCTTTTCACATATTGCTCCCTCCACACTCACCTGTTGTTGGGTCTCCTGCACAGTTTCCCCCAGTATTGTCCAACAAATGTCCTTCACAACCAAGATCAAAGCACCACATAGAGAGCAGCCTGTTTTCGTCTGTAGCTACCTCTGCTCACCATCTATCTCTCTCACACTCCCTTTCATTGCTCTTTAATCTCTTGTTCTCTCTCTCTCTATCTTTGCATGACGTTTCTCAGAAACAGTTCTGAAAAGTTTTTTTTTTTTTGAGGCCTTCAAAGCGTGAAGCAAAAACACATGGCTCTTGTGCTGCCGGCCTACTTTGTGCCAAAGAGAGAGTGCTTGTGCATGACAACAAGGGGAGCATGAAGAGGTTCGCACGGGGGGCAGAGTTAGTAGGGCAACCCCTCTTTCTTCCCTCCCATTTGCTCACACACAGCATTTCAACCCACTCACAAAACTGAACAATGGATGTTCTGAATTGCACACATGGAAACACACAAAAATTATGTGTTTAGAAACTTCACTTCATAGCAAGAAAATGGAACTGTCACAAAGAGAAAATCATGTACAAACAGTTGGTTTTTGCTTGTATACTTCAACGTGTCCCCCTGTGGAGCAGCCCTCACGACTTCCCTTAGTGTTACTTAGCACACTGCTTGCAGTCCGCAGCCCAAAAAATTAAGATGTCCAGCTGTGCTTTAGAAAAGAGGCAACAGAGACATTTCCATGTCCTAATCACATGGTCTATTGTCTTACACAGCTAATCTGATGATGGATAATGTCTTCTTCAAATTAGAACCTCCTAACTACTCAGTCAGGAGTAAATACCATTGGGTGACGGTGACTGTGTGCAAGTGTGTGTTCACTGTGTCAGTGTATAAGCATTTACATGTATGTGCACCTCAGGATTCCATTCAGTGTTTAACACAGTAGAGTATTCAACTTTGCTCCTGGGCAGCGGTAACCATGGCGACTCCTTAACAACTGCTGTCACCCTGTCCCTCGCCAATCTAATGTCTCTGTCTAACACACACACACACACACACACACACAGACTGCAAATGCCATACACACTCAAAGAGGGAACCGTGAATTACAACAGTACTTTGGAGATGTTATGTAAAGGAACACCGATTAGATGAGACAGAGTTAAACATCTAGGAAACCAAAACATTACAAAAATCTGTCTGGATACATTATTTACCCCCAGTAATTTGAGTGTGAGAGAGTTTACAATTTCATAAACCTCTACAAAAACTGTGGAGACAAACAAACCCTGAGTATTGTGGTGCTCCTGACATATAGAAAAATAAATCAGGATAATGTCTGGCTGGCACAAAGTATAAATATAGATAAATATCCTGTAATGGCACCATGAATCTCTTGGCTGTTATTTTAAAACCAGTGCATAATGCGGGTCAGCGTGGCAAATGAGAGATGAATTCTTATCAGCAGCGACTCATATGACAGTGGCCACACACAGTTTACCCCGCTTTGCTTTTCATCTCTTTTGCAAGAGAATAGACTAAAACAGAACATAGTATTTTTAATCTGTTGTACTGCTACTAATAGTTAAGTAAAGGATCTGAGTACTTCTTCCACCTCTGGTATTGAGTAAACTGTATGGAGCAGCAAATGAGTTAGCAACAGGATCAGTTTCAGACACAACCACAACCAAGTTAGCTAACACTACTTGGGAGGTTTGAGATAGAGTCGTCTGACATTATGATTAAATGATGCACATCTCCCAGTTGTCAATAAAGTACAAGATCTCATCGTGGTCCTTGATGAAAACAAGAGACATGCATTTGAAGATGAAAAGAAAGCTGGCATAATGGCCCTTTTTGACTCATTTATTAAATAAATATTGAGTGTATTTTAAACATAGGTGTGTTATTTTATTCACCCAGAGTAGATTTTTCTAAACCCATCTTTACAAACAGCCCAGATTCTCCTCTGTCCTCTAGCTCTTCTGGAAATTATTATGTAACAATAGTTTCTGGAAACTTACAAGCAGCATATTAACAACTTGCTAACTTTCATGGAGCTTGTCATGTAAAATGATTGCTACATTTGTGGGCTCCATAAATTAGTGTGGTGTTCAAGGGGTTTTCTTTTCTTTTCTTACTTTCAGAGTATTTATCCACGACAACACTGGCTTGTGAGCAGTTGGGTGCCACATCAAACCACTCTCCAGCTGAGCTCTAACCTTTCAGCAGTGGAGATCAAAATAACAGCTAACAGGACAGCCTTCAAAATTTCACAACAAACAGAATAATAGATGTCCCCTTGGGGTGTTTTTGAGCCAGAGAGTGCACAAGAAGAATCTATGAGCAAATTTATAGTACTCTTTATATTAATCTTTATAGAGGAAAGAAATATCAAGTCACACTTCACAAGTCATATGGTTTTAACAGCAGAAAACAGTTGACAACATAATGTTCCCAGTTCCAGACTAAACAGGCCTGGAACCTCTCACACAAAATGACGACACCATTTGTTTGCTACACATTTATAGTGATTCATGCTGATAACAAAACTATTGTCACTCAAGTGTGAAAGCAACACCTCGGCGTAACCCTCCCACAGTTCAGACAGAAAAACAAAAACAGTCGACCCTCTGACATGCAACATTTAAACATAGATGAGCTTTTTTTGTTTTTACAGCACACACAAGAAAACATCTCTGGATATATACATTAACTTACATTATCAATAGCTTTGTGTTTTATTAACAATATTTACACAGTAGTAGAGGACGTAAAAGTCTTCTTTCCCACCCACTTGCCCAAAGTCAGCTGATGAAAGTCCCTTTTGTTGCATCCCTCATATTATGGATTCCTGTCAGCTGTTTGTATTGTTTGGCTTTAAAGATTAATCAGCACAGAAAAGTGTAAGTGACTGACAAATATAAAAATTAATTCCTCTGTACAAGTTCAGATGTTAAAGCAAATAATCACAACATGAGGCAGCAGTTCTTCCTCACAACCAGGAAGGGACACACTGATGGCTTATCACATTACGCATCTGAATACACAGAGCCACGTATTCAGGTGCTCTCACCTGATCCAGTCAGATCAGCATGTAACACGCAAAGGACACTGTTACAGTATGTTATTGGCAAATTGTGGCATAATCTTGCTTTCTCATGACGGTCATTGTGTGTTAATTCATAGTAGATTTCAACAAGGCAGACAGACAGACTTGTAATCATCTATGCTAAAATAACAACAAGCATATTAGCAAATGATGAGCTTCACAGAGACAGAGATCATAACTGGACAGTCCACGAGTTCTACTTCTCTCTTGCACTTGAAATGACCCGCCATTACAGTGTTGTGTCTCTGATATCACTCTAATACATTCGCCCTCTTCCTATGTTCAGATAGGTCAGGAACTCAGACAATGGATCCCTTAGAGGAAGACAGGTGGATGGACTGGATGCGGATGGCCAGGGTTTTCTCTAGGTCCTGTAGGATGTTACAGCTGGGGCTATCTGAAGGTGTATCATACAACAGCTGCTTGAATGGCTCCAACTCAATCAGGATTACCATGTTCTTCAGGAAGTAGCCCTCTATATAAGATGCCAGGTCTGGAGCATCGAGAAACTGCAAGAAAATGGGAAAAAAGGGTGTTTTTGTATATACATGTTGGTAGACATTCTGTGCATCACTTAGAATTTCTACAGTAACTCTGTTTGCACCTTAGTATGGTTGTAGACCTCCACACAGGTTTCTGTAGTGATGTTCTTGGAGCAGATAATTTCGCAGTGCCTCTGTAGCGCCTGCAGTTGGAAGAACTTGGCTGCAGACAGAAGCTGCAACAAAACCACAAGTTTATTACTGGTTCACCTTCCATAGTGAACTGTTTCCCAGTATATAATTTTGTTTTTGGTGTGAGCTCCATATTTTACAGTACAAAATACAACCACCACGAAAGCCAGAATAAAGACCTAACCTCCATAACATCTGTATTCCTGATGTGTAGAGCATCTGTCCCACCAAAATAGAGATATTGCATCACCAGCTGAAAGGAAGAACTATATTATGCATCTCCCACACAAAGACAATTGTATGAATTTACAGTTTTTCTCAGTCGCTTTGGTTTGCTTCTCAAAACATTCTTGCAAAACAGTAAGAGCATTTCTGCAGTTTGTAGAAACAGTATCACGCAATGGATTACCTGCAAAAGCACGGCACTTGCTCATAAGCCTTAGTTTAACTCTCAAAAGCAAATATCAGTGTCATCAGAATGACAAGTCCTTACCTCATCATTTACAAACATGGCAGTCAGAATGCTCAGTCATGTTGTCAATACAACAGTGTACTCTGGAAGTATATTCTGATGTCAACTATGGCTCAGGTTTTGACAACAGTAACAGAAAATTCTCAAGGCTGCACTTTTTCTGTATCAATTTCAACAGTACAAGGTTTCATACGAGTGTATGTGGAAGATTTTGAACAAGATTCATATTTACTGTCATTGTGATACAGAAAAGAAAGTGTTTTACAGCACTGCATAGCACAGTGGAAAAAAATCTAATAGTAAAAATGTAAACATAGGGACGGTAGGGCAGAACGGTTGTTCTCCTAACGTTCGGCTGCTGCCTTCCAGCTGTAAGGCCATGACTGACAATATGGTCCACAAGTGTGGCCCTCAGGAACATGCTTATGTACTTGGCCTCTTTTCCCCCCTTCCTCTGTTTTGCACATGCAGCCTTACTCCTTTGCTTCTTTTTCTTCATGGTAGTTGACGCTGTTCATTTACTTGATTTTCCATTGTCAGAAATTGTAACACTGTCGTGCTCTGTCTATATATGCTTGCCAGTTGAAGGTTCATGAGATGCACCTCTGAGCTATTTTACAGTAAAGAACTGGATGATCATTGGTTGATCTAAGGCTTCAAAATTCCTCTTCATTAATGAAAGATTCACCGGAGAGCAAGTTCAACTTCAGACACATTTGCAAAATGAAGTCTAATAGAGCTGTATGGAAATATGCTTGACAGATACTAAAGACTAGTTCACCCATTTTGCATATGACATCTGCAGTGAGCCAATGACTAGTTGTTTTTGGGAGGTCAGACTATTCAACAGAGCACTATATAATACATAATGATCAACATGACATAAGCAACTGATAATGTAGAAAACAACAGACAGTTGTACATAATAACCTGCATGAATGTGCCAAAGAATTTGCAATTTGTTAAAAACAATGAGAAATTGTTTAAACGACGTGCACAAGTGACTAGATGATGTGGAGGTCGAACAAGTAGTTCTGAGAATTTCATTTCTGATCTGAGAAATGAATAAA